GCACACCAAGCAATGTTCCCACATCGTTTGCCTCAACTTCTTCTGTCCTCCCCCTTAATCGGAACTGATGTGTTGCTGGATCGTACGATTGAATGAAAGCTACAATTAACTCACGTGGGAGTTTGTCAATTTCCACATCCAACAACTTAGAGAATCCTATGTTCTCTATCCTTTGTCTTAAACTTTCATCACTCTTAACAAATTCCGCCAGTGACATGAATTGACGAACAGAGCAACGGGTGAACATTTTCCATACTCTCTTACTCTTCTTCTTCTCCGGCCTCATTTGTTTGGCCCTTTCACTATATATTTTCTTCTCCTTAATAGAGAGCCTTGCCCATGCCTCTTTCGCCTTGTTAGTTCTATCTACTACACCCTTGAATTTTTTCCCTTGAGCAAATTCCTCTCTAAATAAGACATACCCATTCCTTGGCCCTTTTGAAGTTGATGTCTCTCCCTCCAACACCATTTTTTCTGCACATTACACATTAATACAAGCATGTCAGAAAACAATTAGGAACTTGTGATTAACAACATCTATATAGTTATTTATAACTTCGGTATGGCTATTCACAACTATTTCAACATCTATATAAGTATTTACAACTTCATTTTGAAGAAAACAAACCCCTTTTCCCGACTTCGGTTAGAACTTAACACCTCCAGTGTAGGGATTAACAACATCTATATAAGTATTTACAACTTCAGTATGACTATTCACAACAACATTTTGTTGCAAACACAGACCCCTTTTTCCGACTTTGGTTAGAACTTAACAGCTCCAGTGTAGGGATTAACGACATCTATATAAGTATTTACAACTTCATTATGGCTATTCACAACAGCATTTTCAAGAAAACACAACCCCTTTTTCCAACTTCGGAGTTACTATTTTACAACTCCGGTGTAGGTATTAACAACATATATATAGATGTTTACAACTTCAGTATGGCTATTCACAACAGTATTTTCAAGCAAACAGAGACCCCTTTTTCCAACTTCGGTTACAACTTTACAACTCCAGTGTAGGGATTAACGACATCTATATACATATTTACAACTTCAGTATGACTATTCACAACAACATTTTGAAGAAAACAAACCCCCTTTTCCGACTTCGGTTAGAACTTAACACCTCCAGTGTAGGGATTAACAACATCTATATAAGTATTTACAACTTCAGTATGGCTATTCACAGCAGCATTTTGAAGAAAACACAGACCCCTTTTTCCAACTTCGGGGTTACTAGTTTACAACTTCGGTGTAGGTATTAACAACATCTATATACATGTTTACAGCTTCAGTATGACTATTCACAACAGTATTTTCAACAAAACACAGACCCCTTTTTCCAACTTCGGTTACAACTTTACAACCCTTGTGTACGGAATAACAACATCTATATATACTTTTACAACTTCAGTATGGCTATTCACAACAGCATTTCCAAGAAAACAAACCCTTTTCTCCAACTTCGGTTACAATTTTACAACTCCAGTGTAGGGATTAACAACATCTATATAAGTATTTACAACTTCAGTATGGCTATTCACAGCAGCATTTTGAAGAAAACACAGACCCCTTTTTCCAACTTCGGGGTTACTATTTTACAACTTCGGTGTAGGTATTAACAACATCTATATACATGTTTACAGCTTCAGTATGACTATTCACAACAGTATTTTCAACAAAACACAGACCCCTTTTTCCAACTTCGGTTACAACTTTACAACCCATGTGTACGGCTTAACAACATCTACATATACTTTTACAACTTCAGTATGGCTATTCACAACAGCATTTTCAAGAAAACACAAACCCTTTTCTCCAACTTCGGTTACAATTTTACAACTCCAGTGTAGGGATTAACAACATATATATATTTACATGACAGTGGGTACATTCACCTTTTTTTCAAATAATTATTTTAAGTTTGGCCCCCTCTACACCCTTATACACACTCCCCCACACCATCACTGCGATTCATACCTTAAATCAAACTATACAATTATACTAATATGCACTTTACTTAGGCTAATAGATGAAAGACAATTATTGTCCATAGAGATAACAGTGTCATCGATGTTAATTAAGCTGACAGGAATAGCTTGGTGGCTGGGCTGGAGGAGTGGGAAATGTGAATGAAAAGAACAAAAAGGTAGAGATAAAGTAGTGATGAAACAGTGAAATCATTAACAAGAAAAGAAAAGGTACGGGGCTGTGGGCTGTGTATGTGGTCCACACTCCTGAAAGTATATCAGTCATCATATGGTGAAATGCAAGCAATCTAGTTGGGTCCTCCACTTTCTGCACATTCACTTTGTCATTTTCATCTCCAGAAACCGCCCACTCCCTCTCACACACATTCGATCGACATCTTAAAAGTAGTAGCAGTATCAAATATATAACTTGAACAAACACAGAGAAGGAAGAAATGTTAACAAACTTACCTCTGTCTCACCGCAAATTCCTCCTCTTCTCTCTTCCTCACCTTCGATCGATTGCCGCAATGTAGCCGTTCCGTCGTTCTTTTCCTTTCTCTTCTTCGACGGTGACCACCAAACGCTCTTCCTTCGTCTCTTCTCTCTTCTTCGACGCCGGTAGTAGCTTCCTCCTCCGCTCTCTTCTCCTCTCTTCTTCGCTCCGTCGGCTGCAACAGGGGTCGAGAATGAGAGAGTCGAAAAACCGCCTCTGTTCCCACCTTTTGTTTAAAATAACACTGAGGGCGGTTTGGTCTTTTTGTCTAAGAAAATAATCCCAGAATGGTCTGCTGGTACCAAAATGGGAATACTGAAATTCGGCGGACGTTTTTGGGCTTTTGGAGTTGGAGGTGCATTTTTCTGGCATTTTCCCTTTTTGTAATGTGAAAGATTAAAAAAAGTAAACCAGATAACCCATGTCAACCAACGGGTAATTATGCTGGTTTTTTACCGGTTTGATCCTGGGCCAGTTTAGGACTTAAACCAGACCGGTTTGGTTTTATTTTTTTCATTGGTTCTTTTTGTAAAGTGTAATAAAATAAATTGACCAACTTTTAAAATTCCATGTTAATACCTTTTGAAACTAATTTAGGATTTTGTAAATTCAGGAATTTGATTTGGATTTTCATGATTCTAGATATCTGTGTCTTTTTCCCAACAAGCATTACCTTTTTCTTTAATTAAATATATTTTAAATACTTTTTTTTATTTTAAGAGATACTTAATTTAAAATAAAGATAATTTTATAATTGACACTTCTTAAAAAAAATTAATTTACTATTGAAAAAAATTACAAATTAAAAAATTTAAATATCAACCATTTAGATCAAATTTTAAACGGTCCGAGGACGACCACCGAATGAGGACCTAGGGGGTGTTTGGCAATCTGTGTAGAATCAATTCTGAGGCCCAAACCATGGTTTGGGTAAAAAGATTGCCAAACACCCTCATTTTTTGCAAAACCAAGGTTTCAGAGAAAACCAAGGTTTTGCACGGCCAAACCAAGGTTTCACGATAAGCTAGAATTTTTCGCTTCTGAAGATTGAAAACTAGTCGTTACAGTAATAATTATTATTGTCAGAGCACTGAACGGTGAACAATCCTCTTCTCCCTCTCAGCTTGCGCATCTGCCATCGCCCCTGAGAAATTCGATCGAGACTGACCATCCTCTTCTCCCTCTCAGCTGCGCATCTGCCGTCGCCCTTGAGAAATTCGACCGAACTGACCATCCTCTTCTCCCTCTCAGCTGCGCATCTGCCGTCGCCCCTTCTCTCCAAAATCGACAATTTCCTCTTCTCCCATTCTCCATCTGCCGTCGCCCCTGCTGAGAAAATCGATCAATTTGACCGTCCTCTTCTCCCATTCTCAGCTTGCATCTGCCGTCGCCCCTTCTGAGAAAGTCGACCAAGACTTTGTGCCACCGGTGAGTTGCCTGCCTCTAGATCGAACTTGCTGCCACTGGGTCGTAGCTTCCGAAACTCGACCAAGGTTGTGAGTTGCCGTCACCCGTGCTGAAAGTCCAGTCTACTTGTTGCCACCGGTGAGTTTCTGTCGCTCGTTCTGAAATTTTATCACACATTCGATTAACAAGATCTTCTTCCGTGTTCAGTTCGTTCGGTCATCGTTTGCTGAGGTCACCGTGTCTGGTTCCATTGCTCAGATCTAGCGTTTCAGGTGAGCTCTCTCCTCTTCTTCGGTGAAACTCTTGGGTGTTCGCTTGGTTGTGACTGGTTGTGGCTTCGTGTATGTGTGTGTGAGAGACAAAGCATCATGTGGGTTGATCAAATCCGGTGAGTTGCCGTCGTCCTGTCCGAAACCCGACCAAGGTTGTTGCCATCGTTGAACTGCCGTCGTGCCTTCAGAAACTCCAGTCGACTTGTTGCCAGAGTGAGTTGCCGTCGGCCCTTCTGGAACAATTGATCAGAATTGTGTGTGTGTGTACGAGTATGGTTGTTCGGGAATTTGTGACTGGCTATGGCTTGTGTGTGTGCGTATGACAGACCGAGCATCGTGTGGCTTCGTGTGTGTGTATGAGAGACATCGTGTGGCTTCGTCTGTGTGGGTATGAGAGGCAGAGCATTGGTCGGTTGTGGATGTTTGTGCTGCTGGAATTCTTATTTGTTGATCTTATATTATTTTTGTTGGATTTTATTTTGGACACAGAACATTGAAATTTTTCTCACGTATTGTAAAATGTCCTGTCGCTATAGCATATACCAGTTTTCTGTAAAGGTGAAATTTTTTGGAATAAGAGTAGCTGAAACGGTTGCTTGGAATTTTTTGTTCACGGTTGCTGCACTCTTTTGTTGATTAGTTCTCATTTTTTGTGCTTTATTGAAGACAAAGGATCTGTTTTGTTGACCTTAATGTTGTACTTCAATTAACTTGACATAAATGGTATAGAACATATGGCTATACTTGTTAAATACTATGCATGTTATATCATATCTCCGAATTGAATGGTATGTTTTTTGGGTTGAACTTGTGATAACTGAAATGTTGTAATTGGTCCATAGCATCATGAGTAAACAAAATGGAAAAGCTTCGTGGGATATAAGAGCCACAAAAGTCTTTATTAACCTATGCATTGAAGAAGTTGAGAAAGGGGGAAGAAAAGGAACTAGCTTGACCAAGCCTGCTTGGTCAAGTCTTGAGGACAACTTCACCGCAAAGACTGGGAGAGTTTATACAAAAATCCAATTAAAGAACAAATTTGACTCTCTGCGAAAGGAGTGGCAGTTATGGGATAGGCTGCTCCGTGAGACAGGTTTGGGGTGGGATGCGGAAAGGAATACAGTTAGTGCCCCTGATGATTGGTGGGAGAGGAAAATAGTGGTAATCATTTAACTTCATTTGAGCTTGCAATTTCTCTGATGTTAACATTTTTTCTCATAATAAAGAATATTTTTGGTGTTGAATGCGCAGGAAGTTCCAGGCTACGAGAAATTTAGAGAAAGAGGACTTCAATTTCGGGCTGAATTGACTCAACTCTTTGGGTCTGTCGCTGCAACTGGACCACAGTCATGGGCACCTTCTTCCATGACGCTTCCAAGCGAAGGAGTTCCCGAAAATGATATGGAAGAAGGGTCTGGAGATAGTGATGAAATATTGGGGGCACTAATTGGGATAAGCGGAGAGTTTAATTCGGTCACATTCAATGACAATAGTGGAGGAAGTGGAGGCAACACTGGGATGAGACGGGAAAACAGTCGTGGGGGTAGAAGCACAGGTGGCAGTCGACCTAGTAGCTCATTAGGGGTTAAAAAAAAAGGGTGAATCCATGAAGAAGAAGAACACTGCCACTATGAAAATAGCAGATGCATTAAGCAAGATAGCTCAGGCAAATGAAAATGATTCTCAGCGTGAATATGAAGAGATTTCAGAAGCACGTGCTAGGAAGATAGAAGAAGAAGCACGTGCTTATGAGACGTCAATTGCGGGAGTCATGGAGCACCTTAACGAAGTTGATGAAGTTGTTGATGATCCTGATTTGTTTGGCCGGTGCACAACACTCCTTATGAGGGAGCAAGCTGCAAGGGAGATGTATGTGACTCTGAAGAACAAGAGGGAAAGACTCCTGATCTTCTTGAAGCACGCAACTAAATATTGAGACTTCATTTGTGTTGCTTATCATAGTATTTGACTACTTTTTGTGTTATTCAGGAGATGACTGTGATAATTTGCATATGTTTTTAGGAATGATGTAACCAGCACTATTGTATTATGTGACTGCTAAACTTCTTTAGGAATTAGACAACTTATTTCCTTGTTAAATGTTTACTAATTTCATATGAGGATTTCTGAATTTTATATCTATGTGCACAGGACAAGACAAAAAATGACTGATGAAATTAAAATTGCGGAAAAGTATTGTAAACGACGGAACAAACGGATTAATCAAGTTGCAGTAGCAGTTGGTGGATACGCTTCTCTTCATTTGTGTAAAGAGCCCCAGCACACAAGTATTTATACAGGCAAGGCATGGGTAAGGGACGTTTTACAAGGCCATTCCACCCGTTGTTATAACATGTTTAGGATGGAAAGGGAAGTGTTTTTCAGTCTTTGCACAGAATTGCAGCAACACGGTCTTACGGAAACTAGAAATGTTGGGATACATGAAATGGTTGCAATGTTTTTAAATACCGTTGGCCATGCGCTTAGTAGTAGGATGCAGCAAGAAAGATTTCAGCATTCGGGGGAGACAATTAGTAGACATTTCCATAATGTCTTACTGGCATGCTGTAGACTTGCTATGTCCAATATCAAACCAAAAGATCCAACATTTCAGCATTTGCATTCAAAAATACAGCCCGGTGGTCGATACTGGCCCTTTTTCAAACATGCTATTGGAGCAATTGATGGAACACATATTTCATGCGTTGTTAATGCAACTGAGCAAACAAAATTTGTTAACCAAAAAGGAAGAGTGACGCAAAATGTAATGGCGGTTTGCGATTGGGACATGTGCTTCACTTTTGTATTAGCCGGATGGGAAGGTAGTGCGCATGATGCTCGTATATTTGACCACGCTCTCACAACTCCTTCCATGAACTTTCCCCATCCGCATCAAGGTATATTTTAAATTGCTGCAATTTATTTATGCGATACTGTTACAAAACAAAGTTTATTGACACCAATCATATATTTCATGTAGGCAAATATTATTTGGTGGATGCTGGCTATCCGACACCCGTGGGATACCTTGGTCCCTACAGACGTGAACGCTATCATCTCCCTGATTTTCGAAGGTCATCTGCACTTGAAAATGACAATGAGGCGTTTAATTATTTGCACTCAAGTCTACGAAGCACTATTGAAAGAACTTTTGGAGTTTGGAAGAGTAAGTTTGCAATTTTAGGAAACATGCCGAGCTATGACTTTCCAACACAGGTTCAAATTGTTTGTGCAACAATGGCCATACATAACTTCATTAGATCAACATCCATTTCTGATCCTGGTTTTATTCAGTTTGAACAAGAAGGTTCTTATGCAGAAGAAAATAACGATGATGATGGAGTTGGATCTTCACATATACCTTCATCAATAGAATCTTCATCTCATATGGCTCGACTTCGTGACTCCATAAGAGATCAAATTATTCACTATATACGAGAATAGTCATGTCTTTTTTTATTTCCTTCTTTCTTTTCAGATAATGTAATGTGTTGTTAAAAAAAAAATACTTGGACAAATATTTTTCGTTCCAACCTCTATTATTAAGACAATTGATATGAAATTTTTTTGTGTGCTTCTTTAATTTTGTGAAAAAAAAATTATGGGATTTTTTCATCTTTAAAATCTTTAAGAAATGATCATATTTTTTGTTGGCAAAACTAATTATTTTACAAAAAACATATTTAATTACTTTATTAAAAAATATGCGTATTAATTTTAATTATTTTATTAATATATATTATTTATTAATATATATACATATTTAATTATTTTATTAAATTATTTTCCAAAAAATATTTATTTATTTTATTAATTTATATACGTATTAAATTTTTTTATTAATATTATTAATTTACTTCAAATAAACATATATTATGAAATATATCTTATATGTAATTATCATTTAAACTTATGTCCTTTTTTGTAATTTCTACATGTAAAAAGCACTTCTGACAAAACCTATCCAAACACACTCACTTTTTCAGAATCACTTTTTCAGAAAACCTATTCTCTCAAAATCTATTCTCTCCAGAATCAATTCTCCAGAAGCTATTCTCCAAACCATGGTGTGACTTCGTCCAAACACCCCCTAATCCCACTACCCGGAAGAAGCTTTTCCTTTGTTTTTCCTACGGGCCTCATTGGGCCCCCTCAAATAAGCCCAAATTGTCTATAACACTTCCTACGAACCCCAAGAAACTTGGCCGGAGAAAACAAACATAAAAATTTGCACGCGTCGTCTAATATTTTAACCACGACTTCAATTAGTCTTCAGGAAACATCTGTAGGACATGGTAAATTTGTAATATTTCAAGTAGCAGTGGAACCAAGATGCAAGGCGAAGTATTTGTCACCTTGGAATTTGAGTACTTTGATGCTATATTTAAGCCATTCGAGTGAACAATACACGTAACAAATTATACACAATTACTCACTCGAAAGTTAACTACTAGTCCTTTCTACCTTCTGACGCAGAAACAGGAAAAAGGTACATTGGAAAAGCAAGATCCTATCCGTTGATTAAAGTTTGAATGCCATGACTGTCTTTTTCAATGATATATCTACATAACATGACCAGATGAAAGGGCAATCAACAAGGAAAAAGCTCATACAATCAACAATTCCAGTATCCGTGTTATCTCTACACCTACTGTGCCGGATTTGGAACAGATAACCATAACCCAAGAGATGTAAGAGAATTTTCTATGACTTACTCAGGACCCGATTTTTAATTTTGATTCGAAATTTTGGTGCAGCAGAAGTACCTTCTGACGCTTCCGGCTTGGTATCAACCTTTCTAGCTTCTGCTTTAGATGCACTAGGTTCAGTTGCTTTCAATTCTTGTGTAGCAAATTCAGTCCCAGGTGGTTCTTTCTTACTAGAAAATTCTACCAAAGATTTCTTCGCTTCATCACCCTGCAGTTTTGCCATCTCTTTTTCCTTCCGTTTTTTCTCTTTCTTCAATCGTTTTCTTTCCAAATATTCTGGATCATCATGGTGCCCTTTATGGTCTTCTTGCTTCCGTCTCTTTTCCTTGCCTTTCTTTTTTCCTTTCCCATGCAAAGAAACATTTCCAGCTAATGAGTCTGCAACTGAAAGAGTTCGGAGGCTGACAAAACGGCGAGCATCAGCATCAATATTGTTGTCCTGGATAATGCTAGATGATGAGGGATCCAAAGGCCGAGGTGAAAAAACAACACTTGAGTCAGCAGTACATTGGAGTTCTTTGAACAGTTCATCACCATCACTCAAGAATTTGGCACTACCAATGCTGGCAGTCAAGCGTGAACCATGGTCATGCCAAGAATTAACTTCCTCAACATTGTGATTACTCAGCGTCTCCCCAAAATTTTTTGGGGGTGCATCTACAGACACTGAACTGCTAGCTGCATGATCAATTTCATTGCGGCCACCTAACGATCGTTCAGCCATTTGATTATCAGTGTCAGCCCTACTGGCAGCTGAAGATTGTTTGACTCTGATTTTAACAACTGGCTTTTTCCGCTCTTGGCCAAGGAGTGCAGCATCAAGTTCCTTAGGAACTTCACTGGGAATTTCCATTGGTAAGTCCTGCAGCAGTTCTTTGGGAGCCTCAATGGGTGAATCCTTTGGAGTTTTGACATCCACATCTTTGAGAGGTTCAGGGTCTGTATTCCCAGGTGCTTCTTCAAGTGTGGCCTTGAAACCCTCTACCAAGCCCCAGTCTTCTGTCAGGTTTTGGGTAGAGCAAGGCAATTCAGGAGGTTTACTTACTGGATCAAGAACAAGCATGTTTCTCTGATCGCTGCAATTTTCCACAAGACTCATTTGCAATGTTTTATTTTCTCTGGGTACTCCATGCAGAGTTGGTGGTCTAAAGGCAGAAGCACAGATTACATTCATAATTAGTTTGCTTTCTTTTTCACCCAAAATATATGAACAAAAGTTACATATTTTTTGTGAGAAAAAGTAACTACAGATCTAAGATCAGAAATCATCAATTAAAAGCAGACATTCATGTTAAACACAGGACGCTCCACTGAAGTTCATTTCATCAAGTGCATTAAAATTAAATATAAAAACAGGATTCCATATTGGATCTGATTTCCTATAAACAATATTAAGAAACTTTCAAATTTCAAATACCCAATACAAACTGCCGAAGTATATGCTAATTGTATCTTAGGAAGATAAAATGATCTAGGCTAAAGCAATATCAAATACATATCATTTAACAAGACAAGGAGGAAGACAGGCAAAGGTTCCCAAAGCATTGCACCAAAAGAGCCTACGTGGAACTAAGGAATAGCTAGCCTCCGAATATGAGAGCACTTGAAACATGTTGAACAAAAGCAGCCTTCCACTTATATCAGATAAATAATCAGGACACTCTTCTGGTTTTATTTATAAGGTAGAGAAGGTTTTTTTCAATCCTATTTATAGGTCACTTCACCAAACTTTTAACATGAATTTACTCTTTTACCCTTCATTTATTATTATGTAAATTGTTAGTTTCTTGAAAAGTGTATATATTAAATAAGGATAAAGTTGAAAATTGTTAAATTCTAAAATAGACTCAATGAGGTTTAAGATTTTTCTTAATTCCAGTGAAATATGTTGGAAGTGATTTATAAATAGGATAAAAAGATGTAACTCACAAACTAACAGCTCACAAATTTCTAGTGACATTCAAATTATACTAATTTAGTTAGTTACAAAAATCACCAAAATAGATAGCTATAGAAGGGTGAAAAATCTTTGGTGGCCTCCAATAAAGAGAAAAAAATACAAAGAAAGAAGTTTAAAAATAAAAAAGGAAGAGGTTTTCCTTAAAGAAGAAAAAAGAAGCTTCCTGTTTACCCCAAAAAAAAAAAAAAAGGAAAGTTCCCTCTTAATGAGTAAGCAATTACTCAATCTCTAGACTATCAATCTTGTCATAAGCAGATATATGCAATA